TCAAGGAAGTTAAGAGCAGCAGTTTAAAAAAAGAAGCATTACAAAAAAAGAAATATGGGGAGCCAGCAGCTTCTTTTATTGACAATAGATGGAAGGCTAAGCAAAGATTCCCTTTGAGTTGTAATTTTTAGCCATTTAGCTGGCCGGGCACGTTTTGCATTTAGCGCGTAAAATAAATTTGCACAATTTGTGACAAGAGTGCGAGCAGAACTAGGAAAAAGAGGGGCTTGAGTAGTTGGTGCCAAGGGGGAGGGGAAGGAAAACAAATTGACAGCGAAATACGAACAGTGGTTAAAAAATAAGCTTAAAAAACTAACAACTAACTATCACTAAAATAAAAGAATTTATTTATGAAGAATTAAGTGAACTGAAAGGTAAGCAAAACAAAAAGAAAAGGTTTTTATTTATTAAGAATAATATAAAATTTTACAAATAAATGGTAATCAAAATCTACAAATTCTCCAGAAAAAGTTGTATATCCTTACTTTGAGCTAGTGTTAATTTTTAACTAAAATATTTATAGGCTTTTTAAAACCCTTATCAAAATTACAAAAACTTTTGTTATTAAAAACTTCTTGTATTAAAAATTCTCATAATATAAAAAGCTTTCTCTATGACATTATATTTCATATACTTTAATTTTATTTAATTTTTAACAAGTCCTGTCACCCCACTGTGCAGTGTCCCAAGGAGGCGTCACAGTGGGCACGCTGGGGCCTCTTGTGGGTCGGCTAATTGTCATGCCATGCGAGACTTCTCTCGGGGCGGTTGTCTTGTGGGGACCGCTACTGATTTTTCTTCTTATTTGCGGCTCTGCACTCGGTCCGTCCATCAATTGACTTTATCTATTTGAACTCGCATGTTAAAAATATCAATTTGTTGTCTGCCCAGACTTCTGACTTTGCCCGCTTCTGACTTTCTGACAGACACTTTGGCCCGGCTCTCTTGCTGGTTGGTTTGGCTTTGCTTTGGGCTTGCTTTTAGCCAGGTCTGCAGTAGAATCGCAGCTTTGCGTTTTTGGTGTGATTTATGGCCACGCGGTGGCATAAATGTAGGTGCGGCAGCCTGCCACATAAATCATTGTTCAACTTGGCAATGCAATTTCGTGCAAAATGTTCACTTTGCTGGTAGAAAGAGAGCCGAAGGCTCGCTAAGCAGGGATAATTTTTGGTAATAGGTTAAGTAGGAGCTTAAAGTTTGGAGCTAAAATGATTTGCTTAGAGCTTAGCTTAAATTGGTGTGTAATAATTAGACACAAAAGTAGACATTTCCTTGCATAATCTCTTTTATTTCCTGTGGAAACTCTAATGTCGATGACTATATCCCAACACCTGTTATGTTTTCAACCTCCCTTGATCCTTTGCCAAGTCATTTGACCATTCGGAATCACTTAATGTGCCTGGGTACTCCCTTTCTTTCAGGTCCTTCAGATCTATTATGAGTCCAAGCCTAGAAATAAGTGTGCCACTTGTGCCGAGTAAATTATAAGGTTAGTGGAAATCTCGGGAGAAATATCTACATGAATAATTCATCGAGTCAACTGAATGGCTGCGCCTGCATTAATGAATAACGCTTCTTATTTACCATGATGGAGCGAAAAAAAAAATATAGAATTGAGACAAGTTTAATTAGAGTGAGAAGCCAAGTGAAATTGTCTTATCATAATCATTCTGGCCAGAGGAAATTTCGTGATTTTCGCACACAGACTGAGCTGGAAAATTGTGTCTAGTCACTCTCGCAGACATCAATCATAGTCGGCAAGTCCCTTCAGACAGCCAAGTTAATGGCCAAGGGATCCTGGCCATAATGCGATGGGTGTTTGCGTGTCCTCGGACTTTCAGTTGGACAAGTGCATGATTAATTATTTTATTATCTATAAATTGGTTTTGTCCCCTCGCAACGATGATGGTGGACCTTTTTTTTCACCAAAACAACTAAGTTACCTTTGCATACTTTGAGGCTTGCTGGAATTACAGGCTTTTCTTTTTAGCTTTGAAAGGTTTTTCTCAACATAGTAAAGCACTGAGTCCTTACAAACATTTCATTTTTTTGGAAGAGCATACACGTGGCGTATATTCCCCTTCAAAACTGAAGTACACAGCCATTTGTAGCGGATTTTTAGGTTCAACATTCTTTGTTGTCCCTTTTTTGGTTTGCAAAAACTTTCAAGTGGAAAATCTGTGGATATTCTGTTCGAATTGCCCCATTAAAAATCTTTCAGATTTTTATTGTTTTTATGGCGAAACGCTCTGGCCAGATTTGGGTCAGCTGCTGCTCTCGTTTAATTAGCAGAATTTTATGACACTGTTTGAGGAAGTGGCAAGCGCTTGAGATATTTCGATGACAGCTTTAAAGGCACAAACTGAAATTCAGGGAAATCTTCAGGAACTGAAAAAGAACCATGTTCAAACCCAATCAAATTAATCCAGAACGTAAGAAACTCTTTTTTTACTAAAACCAATTGAGAAATTCCTCATTAAAGTTCAAAAGTTCATTTCTTGGCTCAATTTCTGTAATCATTTCCACCGTGGGGAGTCGCTCTCTGATCCTCCAATTAGCGGTTAGGATCATAAAAATCCACCGGACCAACAACTAACTCAATCATTACGCAATTAAGCGGCACACATTTTCCCCACAGATTTATGACTATATCCATATCGAACGGAGGGCACATTAAATCACGCGACCCATTAATAAAATTGTTTCAGTCGCGTCGCTCCATTAGTGTTCTTTTTGTTTTTTTGTGGGATTCCGACACACAGAAGTCCCAAATATTTAATCATTGTCGCTGCTGCTGGGCTATCATACTTGGGCCTTGGGATAGATGCCATAATAATTCTGTTGAAAACAATTTGTACAAGTTGAAAGGCAGCAGCTGCGGGCTTGGAGTCCAAGATTCAAACAGTTTTATGACCCTGCTTGGGCTGCCATTAAAGCGATTGTGAAAAATTCTGGAAATAATCAAAAACTGATATAAAAGATCACACTCGGAATTCCCGAAGAAGTCGTAAAAATAATAGATTACCCAGAGCAAAGCTCAGTTGGTCAAATGTGGAAATGTCTATTTGATATATAAATTTGTTTTAATTTATTAGTTTGGTGTAAGTGATAATGAAACAAAGATTTCTGTATCTATTTTTCTACTGGGGTTTCCCGAAGTATCAAAATAATGATATTTATCATTGTTTTATTAATACCTTTTACCTTTTACATCTACCATTTCCATTTATTTTTCAACTCCAATCCTTTGTTTAATTTTTAGCGAATTCTTTGATATTTTATCTAGCCTTAAACTTCATTAACTTTAGCTTAAACGGTTGGGTAATAAGGTTCATTTGCATTTGACGAATAAATGGAAGCACTTTTCAGCATTGATCAAATCACTGATCGACATGAACCCACACACAAATTGCAATTTTAGTCAATGCAAATCGCTGTGTGGGATTAGAAAAAAATCCAATTAACACTTTTAGAACGTGCCAAAAAGCCTTATTGCGCAAAAACGTTGATTTATGCGGCCAAAATCAGCGGGGAGTAAATAGGGAAATCGATTGGTAGCCACTGTGTCTGAGCCAGTTTTTGTTGATCGAATGGAAACCCTCACGTTCGAATGAACACCCACGAATCTAAAGAACCCACAAAATCAATCAACCTCGATTTGGAATTTTTAACAATACAGTAAAAGGCAGAAATTAACAAATATTAGCTGAGAATATTTTATTAAATAAATTTTATTTAAAAAAAATTTACTTTTTAGAATTCCCAACTGAAAACTGTTCTATTTTTCTATTTTATCTTACAACTTTATATTCCCAACTATTACCTCAATCTAAACTCATTTTTATTTAAACAAAAACATCAACTGATCTTTAATTTACAGCCATTAACCGCACTGTATTAAGCCGTATTCACTTGTTTCTGTTTGTAGTTCATCGTTCGCAGTAATGAATTGCCGTGATTTAATCAATTGTGGCAGGTGTTTGGTTCTTTTTTTCTTATTTTGCACATCAAAAAGACTGCACGCAGCACCAGCAATCGAAACTGGTTGGCTCCTAGACACCGAAAACAACTTTGAAAATCTTTTCTCGCCGAGGTCTTGTTTGATTTGCTCAAATTAGCGCATGCAGAGCCGCAAAACCTGCTGGCGTCCCCCACAAAAATAAAAATCAAAATCAAAATAAATAAAAAAAAAACAAAATCACTCGCAACATGTGGCACGTTTCTCTGTGCAGGCGATTGAAATTGAAAACTTCACTGCAAATCGTTGGCACTTAATTGAGTAACTCCGATCGATCTCGATGTGCTTTGCATAAATTGAAAGGCCTCCTCGTCCATTCTGGGAGTGGGTGCGTGACATAGGTGTCCGCGTATGGAGTCTTGGTTGTCTTGATCGGGGGTCTCATTGTCTGCAATCCACGGGGGTCTGGACACTTACCGCAACTGCGGCCTAGGTGACCAGGTGACCGCAGTGGATTGCAACTTTATTGATTCGATACAACAATTGAAAATTTGTTGATCTTTTGTGGTTGATTTTCTGACACAATTGGGTCGTAGTTCCTAAGGTCGTGCAGGTGGTGGAGGTGAACTATTCGACAATTGAATGATAAGTAAAGGAAAATATATCAAAAGAAGTTCTGGGGTATTTTTTAGATAGTTTTTATGTTATTATTTTTACACAGAAATTAGTCTTCTATATAACATTCCAATTTTAAGAACTATATACCATTTCTTTTGGAAAGCATTTCTTCATAAATCAAACTACAAAATACCTTACTAGATTTAAAATATATTTATTAAATTTTTAAGGAATTTTAAATATCTTTATTATATTCTTATGGTTTTTTTAATATATCTATCATAATTTTTCACAAAATATTTCTAATCTAATTTCGATTTCTATTATTGAAACACCTAAATATGAAGTCAGGTAAAACTCAAAATTGCAGTTTAAATTTTTAAAAATACTTTATCTTAAAAAAATAAATATTTCCAGGTGTTAGTTTCGCTTTCAAAGACATTTATTAATTTTTTTTCTAATATGACATATGTTTAAATAATTGGGTAATATAAAAAGTAAACGAATTTCATCTCCCCAACTTTATTTCATTTCCTCAATCTAAATAGAAAGAATAAAATCCACCAGAACCTCTACCTTTTTTAGCTCCTCTTAACTTTGTCGATCGTCAATTTTGACAACCACTATCAGACCTCCAACATTTTTTCCTGCATTGAAGAACGTTATAATCGCCTTGACAATTCCCCGAGGCACTTGCTGCGGCCAGTCGTCGGTATTGAAGAGAATATTTTTAATGTAGAAATCACCCTCGGGAATGGGGCAGAAATCCTCATCGACCAGCGGGAAATTGGTGGTCTCTCCCTGCTTCACCGAAGGCTGGACAAACTGCACATAGAACTTCTTGAAGCACTCGCAAATGCTTGTCTGTGGAACATCCATGACCATACGCTTGAAGTCGCCATCGCCATTGGGACTGGAGTAGAGCTCCACCGAGACCTTGAAGTCATCGTTGTTCATCTCACCAAGGAACTTGAAGGATCCATTGAGGGCTCTCTCCCGGCCGACAGTCTTCAGGCCATTAAAGATCACCAAGGTCTCGGAATCGCCCTCAAAGGGTTCCAGCTTTTCATTGCTAACCACATAGGATTGCTCGCACTGGTAAATGAAATATGAAATAAATATGGAAATGATAAATAATGATAGTTAATAATATCTATTCACCTTTATATTGTGCAGCAAATGAAGTAGTAAAACAGCCACAGTCCACTTCATTTTGAACTGTTAATAGACTTTACAGAATCAGCCCTATTTATGGGTTAAATTTTGACTTGATTTCGGCACGCGATCTTCATGTTTTCATATATTGTATAGTTCATAGAGATACAAGATCTTGTTTTTTGCTGTTTGCTCAATGGCAACATTGTTTTTCGATTGCGATCTTTAAATTCTAACAAGGAGTTTGCCTTGTTTCAAGCTCGTTAAAAATTTGATACAAATTTTGCTCTTGAATATGTAATAATATAATGATGATATGATTCATTTAAAATATAATTCATCATTGAGTAAATACTAAAGGCATAACCCTAATTATTTACTATATATAATACTAAATATTTTAAATATATTTCTAGTAATTTTAATGGATTTACCTTGTTCTAAAATAGTTCCCCAAATAAATCTTTATTGTATTGAAACACTTCTTGTTTTCTTAAAACACAAAACAAATAAAATCAATCACATTCCTGCCAATGAAACACCTTCTAATTTTCGTTCCCCCATCATCGATATTCCCTCGTGGTGTTGAAAATCCAACTATAATAATTCAATTTGCTGGAATCACCGCCAGTCCACCTACCCCCGGCCAGATGTTGGCCCCCAAAAATTCAGCCGAAGTCCCATCAACAGATCATCAGCATTTTTCCCCCTAAAAAAGAGCGATAATAAAGCATTAATTGAAAAGTTATAAACAAAAGACAGGCAGCAAACGAACTCGAAGACAAAAGACACGAAATACAAAAAGTGCGCAGTGCCAGAAAAACTAAACTCAGCAGGAGATATTTTACATTTTCACGGATGGATTTCCCCAGAAAGTGTGTGTGCCAGAGCAGAGGGCGCGTTAGTTTATATTTATAACAAATTCATTCAAGATCCAACGGGGAAAAGCGTACGCATTTCGGGGGGCGGTGGCGGTGGGGCGGAGGCACTGAACAACAACAAAAAAATTAAATAGGGGACACACACGCGCCCGCGCCTGCCACAACCTATAAATAGGAAGAGTCAAATGAGAGGGGATTTTCCGAAAAATGAAAACGTCACTTCAACTTGGCATTGCCCGCTTTTCAAGGGGGGGGCATATGCCGCCCATTCTCATCCCGGAAAAATGTATGTAAATTAATATGCTGAACTTAAGGTACCTCGTAAGAATAATTGTTGAATAAGTTGATTAATTTGGTAGCTTTGAAATATTTAAAAAGAATATAAGCTAGTAGTAATTTTCTAACTCGAAGTTGTAAGTTTTTTAAGGGGAATAGCAATTATTTAATTTATTTATGTTTACATAATTTTATTTATAATTTAATGATAAAATTATTTAGTATTCAATCAATATTCTTCATTGATTATTCCTACTTATTTAATCTTTCTTTCCCACTCTTAATCTGGCAATTAAAAATATGTATTTAATTTGCAACTATAAACACCTTAAATTACCATTTAATTTTAAAATATTAAAACATTTCCAAGTACCATCATATCCCAAAAATTCAATGAGTATCCCAAAAGACAGCCATCTGCAAGCCGCAAACTATTCAGGGCATTTTCCAAGTAATATGCAACACATGTTCTATGGCCTGTGGGGGAAGTGTGCTCCTGCTCCTGCTCCTGCGCCTGCGCCCCGTGCCTCGTGCCTTCTGCCCCCTCTTCCGAAATAAAGGAAAACGGAAAAGTGCCAGGGAGTTTTCCCTTTTTGTCAAATGGAGCAGCACACGAACGTAACGTCAAGTGACAGTTCGCTGTCCTCAGCCAGGCATGACATTAGATGATGCTTTGACTCGGATCAGCACCCCAAGAAACCCCCAAAGGAATATGAGGGGACCCAGAGATTCCATCTTTCTTCCAACTCCGGCAGCATTGTCAATCAAAAAAATAAAAGTTTGAGTAGGATATATGAGGGGAAAAGGAAAATTCTGAATTACATTTAAGGCTGAGTTATTATAAGACAGAGAAATTCCTACAATTATTAAGACTATTTAAAATCCATTACATTCCAAATAAAATTAGTTTAAAAGTCTATAAATCTTTGTTTAAAATAATAATATTTACCCACAGCCAAAGAACGTAGTTATTGAAATCAATTTAAAGAGTCTTTGGCCAATGATATGACGAAATACAGCAAATACAGCGAGTTAAGAAACCATTAAGCAAACCACAAAATTTTAGCATATTGCGAGGCTTTTCTATCCCAGATTAATGATCACTCCGCGGGCTTGGAGTTCGCCAAGTGGTCGAGCAGGTGACAGGCATTAGCATAAATCGCAGAAATCGCTGAAATCGAAGCGAGCAGAGCGGACAGGTCGGTCAACAATTAATGGACACCTACACGACGATGGGGTCTCCGGGCCTGGACCTGGACCTGGCCAACGGATAGCCCCAGCAGTATAAATCAAACTTTTAATTATAGTGTAATTAATGTAACGTATTTCAATTAATTAAATGCGCTTTGATTGGCATAGCGCTACCCAAAGGCAGTTCACTAACCAAGAAATCCAACAACGCCCAGGCACAGACGAAAAACGTAAGTTAGGCAAATCGAAAAATCGAGAGAAAAACAAAAACATTACGAAACCTGAAAGTTTGCGCGCCAAAAAAAGTTGGTCAGGAAAATGAAATATCAAAACAAGCCAAGAGACAAAAACAAGAAGTAGGATTTTTAGTGATTGGTTTTAAAAATGCTCTGGGATTTTTGGGATATATTTTAAGCTAGAATTTAAAAATTTATAACTTTAATAAATTCTTTAATTAATTTTAGGTACAAGTTGTCTTTTACAAAGTTTATTGTTAATAAATACATATTTTAAAAAGCATTTATAGATCCCTGGCTAGAGGATTTCGTTCGTAATAACCTTGAAAAATATAGAAAATTAATTTATTTAATTTTTTTTAATATCCCCAACCCCCAGTTAATCCCCCCCAGCAAATAGAGTATCCCAAACAGCTGTCCATGTTGCCAAAGCAGGTGATAAGGCGGCTGTGGCTAAGACCAACACTAAAGCTGCAACTCGATCCGCATCAAAACGTCGTCATAAACCAGCTGCAATTGCTGGAGGACCCGCCAAGGAGGCGAGGGGGCGTGGCGTGGGCGATGGAAAACTCAATTGCGTCGTTGCGAAAATTAACTGCAATATGCACGGGGCCCCAAAGAGGCCGAAAGACACTTGTGGCACAAATGTTAAAGGCTCGCCACAAGGCCTGATTCAGCTTCTCTGTTTTTTTTCTCTTTGCATACACAGAAAGATATTTAAACATATTCTCTTAAACAATTAATAAATTTATTATAAAAAAATAAAACACAATTAAAACAATTGAGTTTGTAATAAATTTTACGTCAAAAAATGCATATAGTATATTTAGAAGAACGTTCTTTTAAATTTGAGAAATATCTATTAGTTTCTAAGACTTACTTAATTATTTGAAAAACTAAACCAACACTTTTCTCTATGTGCTACCGTAACTTTGGCTTCCTACGTTGCTGGCCAATTCAAGAAGGCGTCGCGTCGCGGCTTCCGTGGCAGGTTACAACAAATTTGTGGCCTGTTGTTGTTGCTGGCTTGGCCTAATGCGAAAGTTGTTGCCCTTGTGTTAGTGTGCAGTCGTTGTGTATTCGTGCCACAAGTGGCAGTGCCAACCAGCATTGGCCTACATAAATTATTTTCAAATTAAAGCAATACAAAAAGTGTGAAAAAAATATTTTAAGATTTTTTTTATAGAAGAGTTAAGTTACAAAATAAATACATAAATTGTTTTTAAATGATAAATCAATAAAGAATGGGTTAAAATTACAAAGTTTTTATATTAGGGATAAAAATTAATATATTTTTAATCAAAATACTTAAATAATATTAGATTAATAAAAGAAAATTATAGTTTTAAGGTTTTTGAAAGAAGATTTGTTAGTGTTCATTCCAAGTTGTAAATAATTAACCATCAGTTAAAGCTAAAAAGCAGCTAAATCGAGTGTTAAGTTAGTTTCAGAATGTCTAAATCTGTAATAACGATTCTTAATTTTAAATTAATTTCGGTTAAGCAACATTTTAATTGTTCTACATGTTTTATTATTTAGAATATATCAAAGTTATAAAATCTTTATTGCATTTCCAAAATAATTTCTTAAATATTATTTTTACAAATATAAATAGACTGAAATTATGATATTTTTTTCCTGTTGTCCAGTGTTGTTTGCCAACCACGTCACGCGTCAAACTTTGTACGTGTTGTTTCGTTTGTTGGTCAAGTGGCCAGCGAACAGCTAACAGCGAATAACAACAACAACTGCAGCAACAACAACAACAACAACCATGAACAACATTGACAATAACAAATGCAACACGCGCTTAATTTTTATTAGACCTCATGTGGTGCGCATGCGCAGCACCGAATAACCGTTGCACACGGACATGGGCATACGGATACAAATGCATCTGTATCTCGGCGCACATGTGCGCGTAGATAGATTTTTTGGGGCCAGCAATTGGCATAATTGACTGGCCCAGGGTCCGTCTGGTCAGATACGTGAGGTGTTGGTGCGGAGAACCTTTTTTTTAGCCAAAAACATATTGAGCTCCACTCCACAGGCAATTGATTTATGTCCATCATTAATAACAATCACAAGATCGGTCCGAGACAAATGTAAAGCAAGTCAGTTGAGTGACAAGGAGGTGGAACCTTGGGCAACACCCACACTGGATTTTTGGTTACCAAATTGGGATCTTGGAAGGGTATATCTCTTGGATAATTTATTTTGGGTCTATCTAAGTTGAAGTTGATGTTCTTATGGTTGTGAAAAAGATAAATAGAAACTTTAATGGAATTTAATGAATCAATCAACAATTCTTATGTTTAAAATGTTCTTATGTTTAATGTGTAAAGATAAGATATGGGATTTTGTTGAAGAAAAAGTTGTATATAAATACCTATATATTTTATTTTAATATTAATTGTTATTCAATTATACATCTTAGACTCTATAAGTTTTACCGAATTTCTTAATTGCAACT